CGCAAATGAGTACTGTGGGAGGCAGCAAATGAGTACTGTGGGAGTACTATGGGAGGCAGTACTGAACAACTTAAGTAAAGGGTCCTTGGCATCTACCTAGGAGACCTGAGTTGAATTTAGGCTCTTGGCTCTGGCATGGCACAGTCGCAACTGTTGCACGCACCTGGGGAGTAAACCAGTACACAAGAGATTTTTCTTGGTCTCTTTCAAACAAAATAAAATAAACTCAAAAAATAAAATTTCAACCTGACATTGTACTGATTATAATCAGCAAGTAGCAAATTATTCATGTTTTCCCCTAATCAGCTTAAGCTGACAGTAAAGACAAAGTTACAAGGACTATATCAGGTCTTATTAAAACTGCAGGGGAATTTTGCGTTATAATATTTACCATTTATAAAAACATAGTACCTCTTTTTAAAATAAATGAAGTTGTAAGAAGAATCCAATTGTACAAAATTTTTCATAAGATGTTTTAAACAAATTTTAAAAAACTGAATTTTGACTAAAACCAACTTTTCTTTTTTAAAGATTTTATTTGTCTTTAGTAGAACGTCAGGTTTACAAAGAAGGACAGACCAAGAGGAAGATCTTTTATCTGCTGGTGCATCTCCCAAGAGGCCGCAGCAGCCAGAGCTAAGCTGATCCAAAGCCAGCTCTCCCACGTGGGTTCAGGATCCTGAGGCTTTGGGCCATCCTTGACTGCTTTTCCAGGCCACAAGCAGGGAGCTGGATTGGAAGTGGAGCAGCTAGGACACAAACTGGCGCTTAAATGGGATTCTGCTTATGCAAGGCAAGGACTTCAGCCACTGGGCTATTGTGCTGGGCCCTTAAAACCAACTTTTTTTTTTTAAAGATTTATTTTTACTTTTATTGGAAAGGCTGATATACAGAGAGGAGAGACAGAGAGGAAGATCTTCCGTCCAATGATTCACTCCCCAAGTGAGCCCAACAGTCAGTGCTATGCCAATCTGAAGCCAGGAGCCTCTTCTGGGTCTCCCACGTGGGTGCAGGGTCCCAAAGCTTTGGGCTGTCCTCCACTGCTTTCCTGGGCCACAGCAGGGAGCTGGATGGGAAGCAGGGCCGCCAGGATTAGAACTGGCGCCCATATGGGATTCCGGGCATGCAAGGTGAGGACCTTGACCACTGCGCCACCATGCCAGGCCCTAAAACCAACTTTTAAACAGACTTCTTCAGTTATAAATTTTCTGCTACCACAAAGAGAAAAGGATACTGTAAGGGACATTCTAGGGTTTGTTGCCCAAATTTTACCCCAGTATTTATTAATTTTAAGCAAAAAGTCATAATACAATTAAATATTAAAAATTGAAAACTTTTACAAAATATATTAATCTTGGAAAAAATTGCAAGGATATTGCAACTAGATTTAAAAGCTAGGTGTAATAATCACTGGAAACAAAAAATCAACAGTGCCTTTTTTTTTTAAATGCCATAAGGTTAATTTACCACCACCCATTTTTCAGTTTCTTTTTCTTAACAGATCATAAGTAAAGCAAAACTAAGAAACAAATAAAGAAAAGCTGGGGGAAAACAATTTGAATTTTGTTAAACTAACTTTCCAAGTAAAAAATGGTAAACAGGTTTTAAAAAAAAACTTTTAAAATATAAGTTTAATTTATTTGAAAGGCACAATTGTCATACACATACCGTCACACATGCGCACGCCCCTTCTAACAATTAGTTGGCTCCCCAGATATGTGTGCCAGTTGGGGACTGACTCATGCTGAAATCGAAGCCTGGGGCTCAGTCTGCTGTGCGTGTAGCACGGAGCCAGCAGTACAGCCATGCTCTGTTCCTCCCAGGTTGCATCAGTAGGAAGGGGGACGGGGGACAGAAATGCAGACCTGAGCCAGCGCTTGCGTACGGGATGCTGTGCCAAGCCTTGGCCCTAACCGTCTTACAAAAAGAAAACAAACCTATTTTAATTTTTAACTATTTTGGGAGAATGCTTAATTAAAAATGTAGTGGTCCTTTGTTCATCACAGGCTATGTGGCTGCTCTCTATGCATTATGTGATTTCAAAAGTTTTTAAAAAGTTATTTGAGAGGCAGACAGCACATCTGTTTGTTCACTCTTCCCAAATGCCTGAAACAGTTGGAACTTCCTAGGAATGTTTGCAAAGTAAATTCACTTGGGTATTTATTCCATTTTCCAAACAAATGTGCACAAAGTATCTACACAAATCAATCTCATTTGCTTCAATAAGTCCATCTTATCAACTGTACCCAACCTTTAGGGGGAAAAAAATGTAATGTAGTAATACTATCTATAAGAGTGACACAGCTACATTTGAAATGTGTCATTAAATTTTAAGTTTTCTATCTTATTTTGCTATTAGTCTTACTCTCCATTATGAAACCCAAAAAGATTCTTTGGTATATGATTCTTATGCCTAACATAGTTTTGGTTTTCATTTAGCAAAGAAGCTTAAAGAAGGAAAATCTGCCATTACTTAATAAAATGCATATAATAAATTGTAGATAGGCAATTCTGTTACACAAGGGCAGTAATCTCCAGCTTAGACACAGGAAATTCATTCTGTATTATTTTAATAAACCTCATGTAGTCCATTAAAGAAAAGCAAAAAGTCTGGTTAAAATGCTACCCAGCACAATAGCCTAGGTACTAAAGTCCTTGCCTTGCACGCATAGAGATCCTATATTGGTGCAGTTTTTAATGCGGTGGGGAGGTGAGGGGGCTTCCCATCCAGCTCCCTGCTTGTGGCCTGGGAAAGCAGTTGAGGACAGCCCAAAGCCTTGCGACCCTGCACCCACGTAGGAGACCTGAAGACACTCTATGCTCTCGGCTTCTAATTGGCTCAGTTCTGGCTGTTTTGTTCCTTTGGGGAGTGAACCAGCAGATGGAAGATCTTCCTCTCTCTCCTCCTCCCTGTATATCTGACTTTCCAACAAAATAAATAAATCTTAAAAAAAAAAAAGATTTAGAACTTATGTTTGCTTTTAAATCTTTTTCTAAAAGTAACACAAGATATAAAAGCTAATTCCCTCTGATTTAACTACATATAAATCTAACTTGTTTTTTTTCTTTTTTTTTTTTTACAAAGAAACATAGTTCACATACATTAGCTTTTAGTTTCTGTGATTTTGAGATAAAATACATAATTTTCTCAAGGGCATGATGTGATAATTTTCACTGCTACTTCTTCAATCTGTAGGTGCTACATAAGTATAATGCACTTTGTAAGAGTATCATCCATACATACCTGTAAAACTCTTACATGTCAGCTTACATGTATTGAAGTTTGCTATAAATGCATGGCCACTAGGATTTTTAAAAATAACTTTGCTATGAAACGGGGTACTCTTTTTTTTATACAATATAATATGATTAACATCAAGAATGAAATTCTTCAAGCAAAAGTACATTGAGTGAAAGATTATGCATCCTGTTATGTTTTTCTTTAAAAGGAAGGCTATTTTAGGGGGAGGAGTGACAACTATAAAATTCTATACTTGAGCAATTCATTGTCCAAATGTCAGTTGCCACTTCCTACAAAAGAGAAAAACGTATCCCAAGTAACAATGTTCTTCTAAAGCAGCTGAAAATTATTTAAGGACAAAAACAAAATATGAGTTGGTTAATTCATGGTGATTAACAAAGGAAAGTTGTGGAGGCAGAACCTAGGTCCACATCCCTGGCTGTGGGCAAATTTCTCAACCTCTCTGATTTAAGTTTCAATTTCTGGCACTTAGGGAAGGCTCTAAAAAGTATCCAGTATCACTGTTTTGCAGACCAACTCACCAGGGGGCTCATTAATGACCTTGCAAAAGCAGCTGTGGTCTTTGTTTTATTAGCTACTTTTCCCTTGTTTAGAAGGTAATACCTGTCTCTTTCTGCTTCTTGCCTTCAGTGTAAATGACTCTCAATAACTAAAGAAGAAAGAAGGGGTAGGATAGCAAGAATTTGGACTCGGGCAAAGCAGGTAGTAAGCATTATCTCTTAAGAGGGCCACCATCCTGGTTTCCAGTTCTCTGACCTGCAACTACCAGCAAAAGAAAAACCCAGCACCCAGGAGAGTAGCTCGCAGGCTAGATTCTTACTAGTTACCTGCTGCATCAATAACCAAACTGTGTGTTTCAGATGAAACAGCAACTTATTAGGAAATACGCAGTATTTAACACATTTTTTAAAAAAGATTTAAACTTCTACCTTCACTTATTTCATAAACCTTGAGGCAGGAACTAGGATCCTTCAGTTAATGAAAAGAATAAGCTTCAGCATTGTTACACAGTTTCTAAGCAGGTGAGAATCGAACTTGTTTTTCTCTGACTCCAAAGTCCAACCTGTGCTACACTAAAGATACTGTCACTACCCGTCCCTGCAAACCGTTCTATTAACAGAGAGCATTTACTGTAGCTTAAGCTTTTCTTCTTTCTGTGCTGCCAACTCTTGCATTTCATATTATCTCCATCGCTGGGCCATAAATTCGGTTCAAGAATGATACATTAATTCCTGCAGTCAGAACATAGGCCCGGGGAGTCAGAACTCGGTTCCTCCGTAAGCCGGAGGTCTGGCGCCACCATCACAAGCCACAGGCTCAGGCTGGGGTCCAGAGGCTGCAGATCGCACTCAGGTCTCAAGTTTTAGTCAAGGCCCGTGCTCAGATCGGGGAAGAGCAGACGGCTGTCCTTCCCACACTCCTCGCCTCAGCGGAGGCACCGAGAAAGTTGCAGTCGCGGTTAACAGTGCCAACAAAGCATCCGAAACCCCTTTTAAAAACCCGTTAAACGCACTTACGTGAACGAGGTAATTCCGGGACGCTAGGCCCGCACTGGCAACGGAAAGGGCTCCTCTGTCCTCCAGCCGTAGGGGCTGCTGGTGACGACATCAAGGCCGCGCCGTGGGCGGACCAGGCCCTGCGCGAGGCCACGAGCTCGGCGCTGGGCGCGCGCTCGCGGAGGGGGCGGGGCGGCCCGGCGGCGCCTCGTTTAAGCGTCACGGGCGGGCTGTGGTGTGTCTGAGGGCGGCTGGAACATGTCGCGCTTGAAGGGAGCGGCCGGGCGGGATCCCCGGGCGGGTTTCAGAACTGAGACAAGAGACTCCAATGCTTCCATACCCCAGGGGCTATTAAAGGCGGCGAGGAAGAGTGGCCAGTTAAACCTCTCGGGTAGGAACCTCAGTGAAGGTAAGACCTAGGGATGCCGCCAGCCTGTGCCTGCTGTCTGGAATCAAGGGTTCCAGGCACTTGGCTTTTGCTCTCGCGCCTCAGGCTCCTACCCAGGTCCTCTTCCTGTAATCTGGCGGTGATTCTATGGTGGCTTACTCCGCATCCTGTGGTCAAAACACTGTTGCTGGGTCTATGGTCAAAATGTAATATGGCGTTGTTCAGGCAGTATCTTACTCCAATGGTATAAGTTAATGTGTGATTGAATTCCCTGTTAGATGATGGATGAAGACATTGTTTTTCAGGCCCTCGTTTTCCTCTTAATTTGGGCTCTAAAGCCAGAGCACTAGAATTCTGTAACATTTCATTTGTCCCTTTGTGAATTTAGAGTGAATACCTCTGTGTCCTACCAAGAACCCTATTTAGGAGTGAAGGAACAGGTGTTTCGAATTGAGGATCAGGACGTATCTCTCAGCGTTTGAATTTAGGGCTATCCTCAGAAGGCTGGTGAAGACTAACAAGCAGGAATCTGGGTTCAGTTAATGAGTATCCAAGTGTTTTCCTAATTATCTTTGTGTATGAGGGACAGAAGGAAATCCAGCATTTTTCATGTAATGTTTTACTCTATATATTCGAAGGCTAATGAAAGCCTTCTGTTTTCCTTCCAACGCTTATTTTCTTATTTTGTCATAGACTGGGTAAATAAATGTGATGAAACAATGTATGACATAAAATCTTTATCTGAAAGACTATTTAATCAGTGGAAACCTAAACAGTTCCAAACATTAGATGCTTCTGTATGCGTACTTGATTTGCCTAAAGCCTGCAAACCCCACTCTGGCTTGTCTTAATTGTTCTGAGATCCCAATTAAGAGAACCCCTTCCCAACCACCCTAAGTACTATTGCTAACACTCTGCTCTGTTTAGTTTAGAATAGCATTTATCACTATCAGAACTTACACCATTTTTTTTTTGTTTGTCATCTTTGTTATCCTACAACTAGAACATTAATTTATTTAAAATTTACTAATTTGAACAGAGCTTATGTGCTCTGTATTTTTTATCTTCTTTCCCTAAGCAATGATACTTTGCAGTTGCATCTGTTTTGTTGTGAAAGACAGGACTTCATTCCCTTTGGTAGTATTCCGTAATGTGTATGTACTATATTTTCTCTAACCAACCATCACCTGATGGACATCTGGGTTGATTCCATATCTTAGCTAATGTGAATTGAGTCCATATTGTCTTCCCTAATGGTTGTACTAATCTGCATTCCCACCAGTAACGTAGGGAATGCAGAGGGCTTCCCTGGGTCAGGCGAAAGCACCTCCTCACACACCAAGAGCCAGGGCTAGGGATGCCTTGAGCTAGGTTGGGTCTAATTGCTCGCGATAGCTGTGTTTGGGGATAGGTCTTATAAAGGTTCTCGGGGGTCCCCAACTAGGACACAACAACCATTTCACCCAGGGAGGCCCTCTGGATTCCCTTCTGATCCATCCCATCTCAACTCCCTCAAATTACCTGCAGGTGTAGTGGCCTGGACCATGAAGGCCCCAGGAATCATGCCAAACAAGCCCTTGCTGGCCCCCATTCTGCTCTGTTTCAAAAGCCCTAACCGCTAGTAGCATGCTTCCCTTCAACTTATTTGTGGTGACAGTGTCTTTGGGGTGGCCCATGGTGGTGTTCGCCCACTGTGGTAATACAGGTGCTCTACCCTTCTCCTCAAGATCATTTAAAAAAAAAAAAAAAAGGCAACTATGCTGGCAACTGGATTGAATGTGGAATAGCCATGACATGAACTAATGCCCATATGGGATGCAAGAACTACTGCAGGCAGAGGATTAGAGTGCTACGCTATTACACTGGCCCTTGTAATTCCTGAGGATTCTTTTTATTTCTTTGGTATCCATTTTCGTTTTCATCACTGAGTTTGTTGTTTTGGGTCTTTTTTGTTCTTGTTGTTCGTTGGGCCAACACTTGCAAGGTGAGAACTTTAGCCAAAAGGCCACCACACTGGGCCCGAATGTGGGAATTCTTGCGTGGCTGGGTGAATTTAGTGCATTCTGCAACAGTGAGAGCATTGCAACCTGTGACTGTAAGAATTCTACAATTGCATGGTAGGACATTGTGTGTAGTTGGGTCTCTGGACAATTGCAGTGCCTGACATCAGAGGTGAAGAGATCTCTGATTACCTGTGGCAAACCACAGCAGGGTTCTCGCTCACTCTGAGAACTCCAAGTAGGCATAATCAGAAAAGATCCTCACAACACATTGTACTGACACTCCACGCAGTAAAAATAAAGATGATAAAGTGTGCTGTCGGGCCTGGCATGGTGGCCTAGTGGCTGAAGTCCTTGCCTTGCATCCACCAGGATCCCATACAGGCACTGGTTTATGCCTCAGCTGCTCCACTTCCCATTTACCTCCCTGCCTGTGGCTTGGGAAAGCAGTACAGGATGGTCCAAAGCCTTGGGACTCTGCACCTGTGTGGGAGACTAGGAAGAAGCTCCTGGCTTCTGGCTTCAGATCAGCTCAGCTTTGGTTGTTGTAACCACTTGAGATATTTCTCTTTATTTGCTGCTTTGTGCTAATATGCCTTTTCAATAAAGAAATCGTAATAAAAAAAAAAAAACTATTATCCTCTCCGTCCCAGGCATGGGAGTTGCTGGTCGTGTTTCCATTTGCTACTGCATGGTTGCACTGTCTATGCTACTTCATGGTGGTCCTCTGCTATCTGTAGAATTTCCAATTAAGTTTCTCTCCAAGTATCCCCTGGGAATGCACATCCTCTGTTTTTCTTTCCCTAGCTTCTGCTGGTCAAAATTACCACACTTTCCCCCCATTCAGCCATCATATACTCCTCCTAGAATGTTAATTTGAAAAGGTCAGAAAGCTTTCTTAACATCTCTAACCTTCAAAATAGTGTTTGGTTCTTAGTAGATTTTCATTAAATATTGTGATAGCTGTGAGTAGGTAAATGAATATTCTGGTGTCTAGGGATGTGCTAGAAGTTAGCTTGTTGGGTGTATCCCAGTGGTTTAATCTGTTAAACTTCCTGGAAATACGGGTTTTTGCCTTTCAGGTATAAATGTTATGGGTCATAACTGTTTAAGTTTTTATGGTATGAACAACATTAACACAGTACCCGGCATGTAAATCGAAATTAAGTGCCTGAGTCTATAATATTTCAAAGGAGGGCAAGACACTCATGGAGGAAATTTGTGATATTTCTCATTTACTTACCTAAAAGGATCTGTTACCATTATCATACACGTCTTTCTCTGACTATAGTCAGTTTCATCCCTTTCCGATTCATTTTTTAAAAAAGATTTATTTTTATTGGAAAGTCAGATTTACAGAGAGAAGGAGAGACATAGAGAAAGGTCTTCCATTTGTTGGTTCATTTGTCAGGTGGCCACAACGGCTGGAGCTGGGCTGATCTGAAGACCCAGGAGCTTCTTCATATTTTCCCACATGGGTGCAGGGTCCTATGGCCCTGGGCCAACCTCTACTGCTTTTCCCAGACCACAAGCAGGAAACTGTAAAGTGGCGCAGCCAGGCCAGAACCGGCACCCATATGGGATCCCACTACATGCAAGGCGAGGACTTTAGCCATTGGGCTACTTGTCTCCTTTTTGGATAATCCAGTCGCTGTGTTTTTAAATTATTTATAATCCATTTTAGGGCCATGCTCCATTTCTCAACATCTTTGCTCTTTTAACATTGTGTTCTTAATTGTTCTTTAATTTTTCATTTAAGTGGGGAAGTAATAATACCTACTAAGGTGTCTATGAGGTAATATAGGTAAGATTTCTGGTATGTATAAAAGTCCACTGTGGGGTTAGCACAGTGAGGCTAACACTGTCATCTGGTACTGCAGTGCAGCTGTTCCGTATTATCCAACTTTCTGCTAGTGTACCTGAGAAGGTATCAGATGGCCCAGCAATTTGGGCCTTTGAAACCCACATGGGAGACCCAGATTGAGTTCCAGGGCCTGGCTTTTGCTTGATCTACTCCCAGCCATACAGAGTGTGACCGGCAAATCTGTCTACCTCTGTGTTGCTGAATGTGTGTTTCTGTGTCTTCATACCTTTGTTTCTGTGCCTTACAAATGAAAAAAAATTGTTTTTCAAAAAGGCATACACATTATGATCACTGTTTGGGAAAGAACAAATATATAAATGTGTGGTGGTCTCCCAGGTGTGTGTGGGGGGGTCTCACTTTCTTTCCTTTTCTATAATTGGCCATGATAGGTTTGAGGGGGCAGACATGCAGTGAACAGCTCTCTCTCTTGTCAAGAACCCTGCTTTGCCTCTCGGAGGAGGAGCAGATCATACAGAGAGTGGGAAACACCGTCCCCTGTTGGGGGATAAGTGCTGTCAGCCTCCCTCAGGCCAAGGGCGTCTCCCCATCATGTCTACAAATCTGAGAAAGAAGACACAGTAAAAATTCACCATTGTTTGACAAAAGTTTCCTAACTGGATTTCTTGTTTTAAACCTCACTCTCAGAAACTTAGTATCAATACAAAGAGTTACTATTTCAAAACATAAATTTTATTATATTTCTCAAAACATTAGTTACCCGGGTGGGTCTCAGGACGGGGCGTCTCATGCCTGGATCCCGGACGGCCACCATGTGCACATGGTGAGCTGTTTTCCCCAGGCCTGCTGAGTTTTGGGGGCCACTTCCTTCAGGGTGAGTAGACCGAGGGGGGGAGGCCTCCGGGACTGGGCAGGTCCGGGACCCACCCGCCACCTTCATGGGGCAGTGAATGGGATCTGGGAGGGGCGCGACCTTGGGCCTGGGTTATTTAAACCTCCAGCAGCCTCCCAGCAGCTGGTGGGTCTCAGGACGGGGCGTCTCATGCCTGGATCCCGGACGGCCGCCATGGGCACATGGTGAGCTGTTTTCCCCGGGCGGCCAGTGCGCCATTTGGTGCTAGGCTCCGCCTGCTGGCCACCCGGCCGGGGAGCTCTGGGGATTTGGTTCTTTGAGTCGCTGCTTAATTAGCTCCAGGTTG